CCTTTTTGTGGATGCTGCCTTTGTTAACTTCCAATATCAAATTGTATCTTATCATGTGTCTTATCATATGCTTATTGACCTGCTTGGGTCACTTTAACAAAATAATATGTTTGAGATCATGGAAATAGAAAAAGCATAGACCTTTCTTTCTTTTCCCCCCAAAAAGAAAAGGGTCCCTGAGTCAAATCCTGCTCAATAACTTGTGAGTAGTGACTCAGTGGCATTTTATAAATTTCTCAGGCTGTTGTAGCTTCTGCTTGCTTAACCATAAAACAACAACTACCTTGTAAGAATTTTATAAACATTTTTAAAATATTCAATACATATGCTATGTGTCAGGTGTAATGTATCATATGTAATATAATACATAAATATTATATGATATTATATATTATACATTATATATTATATGATGTATATTCATGTAGGACTTAAAAGAATAAACTTTTGTTAGTGAACCACTCTGAATGTCAGTTGCCACTGCAGTAAAATGGGCATATCAGTAAGTTCTAACCCCCACAGTGTTGCTGGAAGGGTTAAGTAAGTGAAAACACACACACACACACACACACACACACACACAAATGCACTATCTGGCTAAAAGTAAGAGCTCGACAAATGCTGTCTATTATCACTATATAGCTAGGTCCCCTTCACAACAACAGTCTTCAATAAGTGATGGGCATCCTGTTCATTTCTTATAGGAAGTGCAGATGCAGGTGTTTGGTGGAATTTCAGGGTGTCACAGGAATGGATCTGGTGCCATGCACCCATGCAGCAGGGGCTCATGAAGGATGGCAGCAGTGTTACCTCCACCTGCTCTCTCAACTGAGATTCTCTCAATGCTTAGTTTTTATTTTCAAAGATAGCACAAGCCTTCTTCAGAGAAAAGGAGGCAGTGGTGCTATGGGGTGATGAGGGTGTTGGACTGGGAGAGAAATTTTTGTACTCCACCAATGCCTCGCTCTCTGCCTTCTCACCTGTTTAATGAGGACCTATCTACTTCCAGAACAATTATGAAGTACAATTGTTCTCCGAAAGTCTCACCTTTAGGTCTGATTCACAGGTCCTGAAAATGGAGATGGAGGAAGGAAGAATAAAGAAAATAGAGAATGAGATAGGGGACCATGGAAATGAGACCT